TCTTTATCATATTTTAACCATTTTTGTCATATTGAACATATTGTGATCTTTTTCAGATTGCTCTAGTATCCACAGTCTAGAGTCATACCAACCCTTGTTTGTCTCCTGTCTCTCCTGCAAGAGGATAATTCCCTCATGACATTTTTATTTATTTATATGCATATATTTATTTATACAAATTACACTAGGCTACATTGTCTATTTTTCCTTTTTTCTTGAGTTTCAAATTTACTTCTGTTGTGATGAATCCTGTAAGCATAGAAATCAGCTTTGGCTGAGTTATAGAAATCTTCTCTGTGAAAGATTATTCCTTAGTTACTCAGCAGGTTACTGGCCTATAATCAGATTTGTTCTTCATTATTTACTTCCTCTACTTTGAATTTATGCCACACATGATGTAACTATAAATGCATATGATATGAACTTGGGGATCTAATTTCTGATGATGAATGCTTTTCATACCCAGATTGCTACGGTAGATTTTCTTGTTCTCTTTTGGGACAGTGAAGCAGGTCTATATCTTCTTTCATAGATGGATTTGCCCTTTCAACTAATAGTTTATTTGGGTCTTGGTCCTCATCTGTATCTTATGGCTCCCCTGATGTTCTAACCTCAGCTACTGGCTAAGAAATCCTACATAGAAAGCACTGCTCTGGCTTACTATTTCCATTTTGCTACTGGCTTGGAGTTTCCATTTCTTTTAAGCACTGTTGTGTACTTTAAACTTCTTTTATTACAGTTTACCTAGCATTTCAGTGTTTCTAGCAAGAGAAAATCCATTTGAATTAAATTAGTTCTACTGCTGAAACCATAAGTTCCAGAATGATCATTGGAAATACAAATCATATCACTCACCCATTATTTAGAATTGTTAAAGAGCTCTATGGTGCAGTTAGATTTAAATGTAAATGGTTTCCTACAGTATAGTTTTTTTCTTCATCAGACCCTGCCTATCTTTCCAATCCCATCTCAGATTTATTCACAATGCTTTAACCACACTGGTTTGCTTTCTTATTTTCTGCCTCTTCCAACTCAAGTGCATGTTCCAGGGCCACAGCTTAATCATCAATGTCTAGTACTGTGCCTACTCAGTGCTAGAAAGGAAATACATGAACTGAATAAGTGAAGATGAAATGCTAGGATCATCCAGTTCAATGTTCTACTTTCACAGTGAGACAAGCTGAGAAACACGTAAGAATTTGTCTAAGTTAAAAATTCTTCAATGTGAAATAACAGCTCCCCTGGCTCCTTTTTGATGACTGCTTCTCTTCCAGTTATATGTTAATGATTAGATGGATAGATTGTAAGGTGATCCACAACTTTCTTCCCATATAGGTGATTTATTTGTGGTATGTATGCATAAAAATTTCCTGAAGATGGGGCTATGGATTTTTGTCTCATTTTGAAACTGCTAAAGTCTAAAAACATTCTTAAATATTGACTGTTAAATCCCTCACATGGCTATCTTTGTGTTTATATTGGTTCTACATGTATTAAACAGTTATGAATGGTACACTGACCACATTACCAAAGAATCTGGTGTTAGGAGTAGTTTTACAGTGTTGCCACTTACAGGTGAAAGGTTTGATTTTTGTAGTTTCAGAATCACTTAGAGAATGAAGTTAGGGATACTCTGATGATTTTATTTATTGAAACTGGCAATATGAATGATCACAAATTTGCTATACCTTAGCTATATCCCTAGCATGCATTCCTATAAAATATTGGAAAGCACAGTAATTTTCATTCAATTTATACCACTCTGTTGGAAATGAAATCATTTGTGTGTTGTTTTTACTCATTTGATTCTGAGGTACTAAAGAGATTGATAATATGTGTGTGGCCATTGTGTGTGGATCTTGAGATAATCAATAATTGCTTTCTCAAGAATATTTTGCTTCCATTAAAGCTTCTATGCATATAAAATATACAGAGTATACAATTAGAAAAGGGGATTAAAAACTACCTTTGTAGTAGACATTAGTGTCATGTCCTCCTTGGCTGTGAAACAACCTTCCTCTCTCTAGCACATCAATACTCACAAACAGCTTTTAGTCTTTAGTATTGGAATGCAGTTGCCAAGGTTGAGTCCATCATGTATTTTTATCAGAATTTGAAAGTCAAAGTCAGAAAGTTGAATCTTTGATGTTTGAATAACTCTACATCCACATTTAGAATTGCAATAAGTTTTATCTTGCCAATGTATATGAAAAGACAGTCTAAGAAAATGGAGCAGGATGAAGATGACTTAGGTAACTTGAAAGAAAGAAAGAAAGAAAGGAAGGAAGAAAGAAAGGAAGAAAGGAAGGAAGGAAGGAAGGAAGGAAGGAAGGAAGGAAGGAAGGAAGGAAGGAAGGAAGATTTCCTTAGTCTTTAGCAATTGCCGTCAAGATTAAGAAAAAATTTACTCCCCATTTTTGTAAAATTTAGTTACTAATAAAACTCCTTTATTCATATGTTTAGAAGTAATAAATCTGCAAGTACTATAGTCAAAGAAACTAAGTTTCAGTGTTAATTTAACTTACTAGGTAAATACAATAACTTGGACAAACAGTTACAAATGAATTAACTGAAGTATAATAGGCTCTATAGAGATTTCAAAATGGTATAATTCTTTAGATAGACTAAGTCACAGCCCATCAAAATAAGTGCCAGGAAATGGGTACTTGCAAGGCAGAGGTAGAGGGTGGGCCAAGAGGAAAGGAATTGATGAATGATGAAGGTGTGATGAATGATGAAGGTGAGGGAGAAGAATACAATCAAGTATTCATTGTACACACCATAAAATTTAAAAAAATAAGGGAAGGGGTTGGTGAAAATGTGGAAGGGATCCATTGTATGCATGAACTGCTTTGTTAAATGGCAATCCTTATCCTAAAAATTTCAGAAAAGTGAAAGACAGAGTGGGTTTGGCTTGACGCTGGTGGCTCACACCTACTCAGGAGGCTGAGATCTAAGGATCACGGTTCAAAGCCAGCCTGGGTAGGAAAGACGTTGAGACTCTTATCTCCAATAAACCGCTAGAAAACCGGAAGTGGCGCTGTGGCTCAAGTGGTAGAGTGCTCATCTTGAGCTGAAGAGCTGAGGGGCACAGCGCAGGCCCAGAGTTCAAGACCCATGACCGACAAAAGAAAAAAAAGAAGAGTCGGTTCAGAGGGGTGAGTGAGAATATTCAAAAGGGTGACATTGATCAAGATGTACTGTATTCATAAACTGTTTTGTTAGATAGCAATTTCTTTGTACAACTAAAGACAATTAAAATACTCAAACGTAACTTGGACATCTATTCCAAGGAATTATTTGTTGTTTATCTCAAGTTCAAATGTAACTGGATGTGTTTGTATGGGGCATAGTTTTGCCCTTTGTAAAATAGGGGTAATAGCATCAGATCATTACAGATGCTAATAATATAAGGGATGACATTTCAACTATTTATGAGAAACCTTGTTTGCCTTCCCCTTCCTTTCTACTTAGGTTGTATGTATAGCACAAAAAGGCTTTGCTTACCAAACTTGTCGTTATAAGACCACCAACTGGGAATATATCCTAGCTATGTTGAACTTTTGCTTATTATGTTAACAGAGTAATATGTAGATGAAAGTGTCTTAATCAAAGATAAAGTTTATGAAGTAGTAGTTTGGTTTATTTTGGAATCATCGTCATACAATGATGTCCCTATTCTTAAATTAAGAGATACAAAAGATAATCTATTTCAATCCACTTGACTTCACCTAGATATTCTTCCGCAAAATAAAATGATACCATACTATTCATTTATTTTTAGCAGTATTTGGGTGCTTGCTAGGTAAGTGCTATATATTACTTGAGTCATACCCCAGCCTTTTTTATCTTCAGTTATTCTCAGGTAAGTCTCCCTCCAACCTCCTCCAGGCTCAGCCTCAGAATGAGATCCTTCTTCCTGCAGCCTCTGATGTAGCTGGGATGATAATCAGCTGCTGATAGAGACAGGCTCTTGAGAACTTTTGCTCAGGCTGGCCTTTAGCTACCATCCTCCTGATCTCTACCTCCTGAGTGGCTGGTATAGCAGGAATGAACAATCATATCTGGCCTGTAATAAATACCAACTATGTGTCATATACATAGTAACAAGTAAATTGGCTGTCAGTTCCAATCAGCATGTCTTCCATCCAGAGAATTTAAAATGTAGCTCAAGCCCAAGCTTGCTCATATTCTGTTCAAGGAAAATACAATACTCAACTTTCCTTATAGTATTTACAATATATTTATTTACCATACAAGATCTTGTGGGGATAAGATTAGCCTTTTGGACTTGGATAAAATTATATTAAGTGAAGTAAGCCAAACCCAAAGAAACATAGGTCCCATGGTTTCCCTTATTTGCAATATCTAGTATATGTATGTGTCAAACAGAAAAGGTCAGATAAGGTGATGTTAGGAAAATGAACCCTAAGATATGTATTTTAAATGTTTTTTTTTTCTTTCATGCATTTGTTTCTAACGCAATTATAAGATTATTTCTTTGTTGCTTTGTATGTCCCTCCCCCACAGTATAACCCCTGCTTTCACTGTATTTGATGTCGTTATAATTTGTGGAGGGGAAGGGGAAAAACAAGTCGTTTAAATAAGGATACAGGTGGACCTGTTGCAACAATGAGAAGTAAAGTTCTCATGTCAAAAACGAATTTTACAACTTGGGGGGGAGGCTAGGGTGAGGGGGGAGGGAGGATGGGAAGGGATGGGAAGGGTAAACAAAGGAGGAGGCTACAATGCTTGATAAGAAATGTACTCACTATCTTGCCCATGTAATTGTAACCCCTCTGTACAGTATTTTCACAATAAAAAAAAAGATTAGCTTTTGTCTCTACCAAAACAGAGTGGAATTTCTGATGAACAACCAACAGTGGGCACAAAAAATGGCATGCTTTCATTTTTATTTTCCTTATGCAGATTTGCCATCTCAGGAGATACCTTATTAATGGCAGGTTAGGAGCTCATGGAGACTGTGAGTGGGTTTAGTTTTAGGTTGGAGTCAACACAGTACCTTCCTTCTGGATGTTTTCCTTTCCATTACTTTCCACATTTTCACCTAGCTGTTTATTACCTAGCACTGTTTGATGAGATTCAGAAAAGTGGCTAGTACTTGACTCTAAAGGATAGACTTGTGAATAGAACATGTGGAGTGATTTCTCTTCCATTAGGTCAGTTGCTGCAGGGCGATCTAAGTCTAGCTGTGTCTCCGATGTCAATGGCGCTATATTTATAATTTCATATGGAGCTTGTGTTGCAGAAACATCATTATCTTTTTTGCAACAATCAGTGTTGAAAGGAATGGCACAAAACACTAAGTCTGTGGGCAGCAGCTTAAACTGGATTGATGGCCGGGTAATCACAAACCTGCAAGGAAAGCCAAACATGCATTCTGAGCATCTGTAGCTTGGACAGGGCAAATACAGGCAATGACTAAGCTAAAGACATCAGTTTTCTAAGACAAAGAGGAAATGCTTTTGTTTGGCTTCCTACCTCTGTTTCTGACTAATAATAATCTCTGACATACCACAATAGAAGTCCTAAAGCAGGAATTAGATGTTCTTTCATCCCTGCCTCTGAAATCAACCATGTCTAACCTTAGACATGATGATGATATTTTGCCTCTGCTATCATCTGCATATTAATAGAAGAAAAAGAAGTCTGGTTTTGACTACTTTTTTTTAAATTTCCTTTTACTTTTTTGGTGGTTCTTGGATTTTAACTTACAGCCTTGAGCTTAATAGGTAGGTGCTCTACAACATGAGCCATGCTTCAAGCCCCCTTTGGCTTTAGTTATTTTTCGGATAGGGTTTTACGTTTTTCACCCTTGGGCCAGCCTCATGCTGTGATCCTCCTCCCCACAGACTCCAACATAACTGTGATCATAGAAAATCGCCACCATATTCAGATTGTGGATCAATGAAGTCTAGATAGGATTTTGTCTGGGCTGGCCTCAAACCACAATGTCACTGATCTTCATCTCCTTAGAAGCTGGGATTACACACATGAGTACTATATCTATGATAGACTGTCTGGTTTCTAATGGCCTTTCTGACTTCAGGTTTATCTGCTTTTCATATGCATTACACTGATGATTTTAATTTGATCATTTCTTCAGCCTTTATCATATAAAAATATTACATGTATTCCAGGTATTTTCAACCTGGTTTAGTCCTACCCTAATCTAATGTTTATGCTACCAAATTTCACAATGAATGTAGCCTGGCCAATGAAACAGTCAATGTCAAATAATATTAAAGGACAATGAGAGCCTGGGCCTACATGGGAAGACTTAGTAAGGAAGCAAGATGCCTCTGGAAGGTTTTAGGTTATACAGTAATCTTTAATATCTGAGTTGACTAATAACAGTATTCATGATGAAGCACTGAGGCAGAATAACCATGAGTGACATCCATCCTGCCTTTCATTTCTGAAGCCCCAATCTTCCCTCCTTAGCCTAAACAGAGCTCAAAACATGGCTGACCTTCCTTCACTGGATAATCTACCCATTATCATCTTTCTACTGAGTCCTCTATAATTCCTATTCTGTTTTAAACTATGCTTATCATCACTACATATTTCCTTCAAAGCAGAAAGACTAGTCTGAGAAAAAGACAGAGAAACAGAGGCAGAGAGAGAGTGTGAGTATACCATTTTATATTAAAAAAACATTTATGTTTATGGGAGTTGCTTTCAGTACCTCCCTACTCCCCAGCTGTCTGTGAGGTGAACTCTGTGAAGCCATATTGACTCATCATTGCTATCTATAAACCTCCACATTTATCTAGTTCTCTGCCACTTGTTCTATACTTCCTTTCAAACCCCAGCACTACCACCATATTTTATGCTTGAAGTGTCTATGTGGTTTACCAACTCAACATTCCAGTACATTTCTCTGACCTCCTGTTCCTCCAATGATCTTCATCTCCAGAGCTTCCCTATCTCACCTCAAGTATTTTCAGCTTCCATGAATCATTGACCAACCACAACTTCCCTCCAGTCTTTTTCACTCTCTTACTCTAAATATGATGTCTCTCCACCAGGATCTCAGTCCTTGTCCTTTTGTGTTACAGTCTAGTATTGCTTCACAAACTCTCAGGGTACCTCCTTTTGATGCCTCTCTGCAGTTCATCTAAACTTTTCCATCTTCTCAGCTTTCCGTAATGCTGGCTCCATCCCCTTTCTCCAGAGTGTTATGCACTGAGAAATCTTAGTGCTAACTAAAAAAAACCCACTAACTACACCTCTCACTCAGAATTAAATGTCTTAGCATCTGTTATTTTCTCCTTTTATTAGTAGAGATTTATGTCTTTTACTTGAGACTACTGTACCTCAAGTAATTTGGCATCCTTGTCTTTTTTCCTGGAATGGGTTTCATCAATATATTTCCACACTATAATTTTTAATTTCTCCTCTACTAGCTGTTATCACCACTGTAAGAATCTTGGCTTGGACTTACACAATTGTGTAAGTCTATATACCCTCCACATACATTTCCTGTTTCCCCTGCTGATGGCCAAATGATGTCTTTTTAATAAATTGAAATCTAGACAAACGGGACCCATGATTTATAAGTGTGAAACTCAGTGGCTACAAAGAAACACCTAATAAATCTGTACCCATGATATCGGCAGAAAACAAGTAAATCTCTCAGCTTTAGAAAATTGCATGGACACGAATAAAAGAGAAAAAAGAACTCTTATTTAAAGCCTAGGTTTCAGATTGTACTGGGGACAGAAACTACATTCTACTATTAATTGGACCTTAATGGTAATGTTAGGGACCAATAATAGTAAGACTTATTCTGTCTTAATCCTATATCATTATCTGTATTCCCACCATCTTCCATGCAATTGCCAGCCCTGAGCTGTAGGTTTCTCTCCCACACTGAATTAAGTAGCTTTGGTTATTATATTTGGTGAGATAGCTAGCACTTCCCAGACCAGCATACTCCCCTTCTGTGTTCTGGGTTGTTCTCTTCATCATCTATCATGCGGTATAAGCCAATACATAGGATTCCAAAATTGTCTAAAGAACCACAAAACAGTTGTCCAAAGGTTCTTCTTGGCTGGGGAAAGAAGAGAAAGACACAGGTGTGTTAAGCACTTTATTAAAGCAAAACACCCCTCACTTACTCGAGTGTCATTTGCCATCTTTTGCAGATGTCTAAAAGACCCGATGGTATATTCTAGCATATTTATGTGGCAGTGTCAAAGTAGCTACATAACTGTGGTTATGAAACTCTTAGTCCTAGCATTGCTTTTATTCTGGTTCAGGATCCTCTGTTAGGTGTGTTGTTGCCAATGTTTATTGATTCTTACTACAATTTCTGTTTTGGAAACCATGGGTAACTATCGATGGGCAATAAGATATGAAATCCTGTTTGTGAGACATATAATGGATTGGGAATTTACATGACTTCCAAGGAGTCATCTTCTTATCCCACTCTAACACCAACACTGTCCTCAACTCTATTACTGGCTGTACACTCAGGCTGTGGTCAACAAGGCTATGGCAGGTGGAAAGGTCAGATAGGCTCAGAGAGATCAAACAAGAACAGTTTGCTCAGTTTATCCCTCCTTAGGAGGGATCCTTCAGGATCCTTCAGGATGTTTGCACCTGGAATTCAAAAGCACACAATACAGGAAATGGAAGTTTTGATAACACAAATGGAGACATGCTGGACAGACAGGTCTAAAAACATGCTTCTTATAGAAAAGCCTCTTCTAATGTCCTCTGAACCAACAGAAGATCTTTACTTGTCAAGGTCTGTACCTAAGGATAACACCAGAGAGATGTACACAGTATCAATCAGAGCTGAGCCAAATAGATACTGATTCCCAAATATACAGAATTGCAATTTTCCAGAATTGCTATCTTTGCCCTTGCTATGATCTACAGCTCAGCAGCTCAGCAGCTCACCTGGATAAGAAAACTTAAATGTTTTCAATTGGGTAGCCCACTGAGGTTCTATGACTATGATCCCATCACAGACCTCTGTCTGATTGAGTTGACCCAAACAGATTTCTTTAGAATTGCACACACTGAGCCTTACCAAACGCTAAGTCTGGTTGTCTTAGTTGGACTTTGCTATGATAGGGTTGATATCAAAGTCTCAGGTAAGCCCTTGCTTTCTGTGGTGGTAGTCTTCTTCTTCTTCTTCTTCTTCTTCTTCTTCTTCCTCCTCCTCCTCCTCCTCCTCCTCCTCCTCCTC